AGTCCGACGCTGTACTTGGGGATGACGGTAAAGTAGTCAATGTACAAGATCAGCATCTCCACCTGGCTCGACCGCCGGCTGTCCAGCGGCATGACCGAGTCGGCAAAGGCCACCACGTTTCCGACAAACAGCGTCGTGACAAAGACACTCATCCCCAGCGACAGGGTAATGATGAGCTTCATCGACGTTGTCCAGCGGGCCAGTCCCGAAGCTTGGCGGGCCAGCGCATTCTTTTCGACGGCGGCAAAGACGTTGGCACGGGCTTTTTGGTAAAAGAGCACCGAGGAGGCAATCATGGCCAGACAGAGCACGCCGTAGTACAGAACCAGCACCAGATCAACAATGTTTAGGAAAAGAGACGAGCCAGAGTACTGGTCCAGCTGCGGCTGCACCGGGCCGTAGCGCAGATACATAAACATGTACTGCATCCCGCGGAGCAGCGGCGGGAGGATGGCCACAGCAACAAACGCCGTCATGGGTATAGAGCGCAGGGTAATCTGAATGGACGACCATAGTCCGATCCAGGAGAGGTAGATGGGTATGATGGCAACGAGGTTGTTTCCATGGAGCATCAGCGTCCTCCGCGAATAGTCCATCCAAAAGTAGGTGGCACTGGCAGGGTCCAAAAATAACTTGAAGGCATTCAGCACTACCGTGAGACGGCGAGTGTGTACCTGAGGCCGCAAACAGCTCCAGCGACACAATTTTGGCCACTACCCGCAGACTTGAGGCCTCCAGCCGAGTCCATGATATAACTGCTCCCCACAGCGAGACAACAAGCACCAGCGCTGCTAGGGCTACGTCCCACCCTCTTCTAGATAAATCCGTCCCCGGCCCATTGTATGTCTCTGGCAGAGTCTGCAAAGTGTCATTGATGGCAGCAAACATGCACCAAATTCTTTTAATGAGTCAAGTGGTTATCACCCACATTGCAAGTGCCTCCGACAACCAAGACATCATGTGGCCCCGAGTCGAGACCAAACCCTTCCAACCACCAAAACCTTGTCCACTGTTGGCACCACCAAGACGCCCTTGGACGTAGGCCGAGTCCGCGCTGGTGCTGCTGCTGTAATGTCCATATTAGGAGACAGAGAGATGGAGCGACTGTGATGGATCGAGACCCGAGTGTCACTGCGTTTGATGTCACCATGCGACGTTCAGGTCACTGACGGACTCAGGGACCAAGCCAGGCTTTTCCCATAATTCAATATGCTGGTGCCAAAGTGTTTTGTCGTGCTGGGTGCCATTGCTGCTGCACTCCCTCTCCAGGACAATGTGGCCGGATCACTGGAAAGACGACAATGGGCCGGAACGAACAACGTTGGCGGAGTCGACGGCCACAGAGGCTTGTCGCACAGGAGATCCATAAACAACATGGCTCTGGTTACCAAGCCAGCCAGCAAGTCCGCAGGTCCGCAGCGTGCTTCACCGCCTGTCATTGCTGGCAACGTTGGCGGAGTCGATGGCCATTAAGCTTATGTGTACCTTTTTTCTTTGTCGTTACCAATTCACTCAAATAAAGAGGTAGAATTCGTTGTTCTTGGATTCGCCAGTCCGCGTCGTCGATAGTCGCTGTCCCAGATCGAGACTGCTCGGCTGCAGCAGAGGCTCTGAGTTGATGCCGGGTGAGATGGCCGTGCTGGGCCAGCGCAGCCGGACATCCAGAAACCCGGTAGCCGACACCGGCAGTGCAAACAGGAAGGATCGTCTGCAGAACTAGTGTTCAGATGGCAGCTGTGCAGCTTGCATTTTTCCGACTATGGAACAAATGACGCGCCAAGTTAACCGCGTTATTATTATGATAAACATCATTGCTCCGCTGGTTGCGCTGGTTCTCTCGCTGCTTTCGGCGACAGCAGTCATCCTCAACTACTTTCGGTCTGGCCAGCATCGCAAGCCAAACTCTATTCTCATGTTTGTGTCTCAGTTTGTCAACATCGTCACAAAGCTGTTTCTGCTGGTGCTGTTTATCATCAAAGACATTTTTGGCATTGACTATCCGCCGCGCTGGGTGTTTATTGGACTGGTTGACGTGCTGTTTCTGGCTCTGATTAACGCCAAGACGCTAAACCTTTTTTCCATTTACTCACCCTACATCAACAGCACCGCCATTGCGGTTTACACTGTGGTGATTTCGGTGCTGTTTGTGCTGCTGATGACCGCGGGATTCTACGACACCTTTTTGCCTTACGACGCAATCGACCCGCTGAATGGGCTTTGGGTCAGCATTTCTATTGTATTTACCATCATTGTGCTTATTGTCGACAACATCCAGGGATACTTTCTCATCTACATGGTCCACTACCATGTCAAGGCAAAGGAAAAAATCAGAAAGCAGCTGTACATTTCGATGGCAGTCATGATCGTCACCAGTCTCTTTGACTGGACCGACATCTGTCTGGCTTGGATTTCGCAAAGCAGCCCCGAGCTCATTTACCTAGACTATGTCGAGGTGGCACTGGGAGGCATCCACCAAGCCGTTTTGTGCCAGCTCTTTCTCAATCTGCGCGACATGGCTCTGGTGGACCTCAAGAAAAAGAACTACATACCCGAGGCGCCGCACAACTCTCCCATGCCTTCGGAAAACCCCAATACCCCTGCCAGAGAACCGCCGGAAACCAAGATTGGCACAGATACAATGTTATTAGAAACTCGAGTAATATGAAGCTGTCTATAGAATGTATGGAACCAGGATTCTGCGTTGCTGGATCGTTTCTCGATCAAAACCCTTTTCCAGATACCACTTTTTGGTCAGCATGCTTCTGGTGCCGAGATAGATGGCCACGGCAACGGTAACGGCCAGCTCAAAGTAGTCGAACCCAGAGGCTGCGGCAATTCCCAGAAACGAAACGATTTCAAACGTGTAGTGCGGACACACCAGGAGCGAAAAGAGACCGCCCACTGGCAGCACATAGGCTTTTTCCGTGGGCTTCTGGTCGGCTCCTCTAGTCGCGAGCTCCATGGCGTTTTGCTTTGGCTTTCGCAGGTCGCGGAGAATGGCGTGGTGGTAGTAGTTCCCAAACTCGCCAACGGCCACAATGCACAGCCCAAGGACAATCATCCAGGTCTGCGTGTCGGCCGTCGTGGGGACAAGGTACCACGACCCCACCACGATGATGGTGTACAGCGAGGCAATCATGAAGCTGGTCAGCAAGTCGATGGGGCCCGAGTAGGAGTGCACGAATAAAACTTCAAGACATCGCTTTGCAAAGTGGATGAGAAAAAGCAGCGACACCAGATTGACGGGTGCCAAAATGCTGGGGTTGATGGAGGACAGGCCAACCACCATGGAAATTGCGGCAGCCAAAGCAGGACAAAAGTAGAGAAAGAACATGCCGTAGGCCGTGGGAATTGCCGCCGTAACGCCGTTTTCTCGGAATTTGCTGTAGCCCAGCGAGAGATACGGAATCTTTGTGGTTTCCGTAAAGTAAAGAATAATTCCCAACAGGACCATGCCCACAGACAAAAGCGGCTTTACTAGAGACATGTTTAGTTGGGCAAAGCTAATGGCGGATTGGACGGCCGGAAAGCCACCACCGGTTTATCCGTGTCGACACAACTGGAACGAGCCTGATGCCTGGCACGACGGCAATCATGCTGCATCCCAGCCCATGGTGCTGGCGTGGTGCGGCAACCACAACACGATCACGGTTGGCCAGTTGCTGGCAGTGTGGACGGCCCAGCGATCGCCAGACTGCTGCTGTGCTCGCTGCGTGGTTTGAGTTGACGAAACAATTATGGAAGAAAGCGTGGTTGCGTTCGTCTTTTCGATCATCCGGCAGTTCATAACACCGCTGCTGATAGTGTTTGCCCTTCGCTATGGACCCAGCCTCTGGAACTGGCTGCGAACCGGCCACACTGGCGGTGCCCAGCAGCTGGCTGTTCAGCTGCGGGGAAAGAAGCCCACCACCCAGTACGATACTGTCGTGACGGCAACGCTCTTGACGACCGGTGTGCTCTTGGTTGCGGCTGCATTCTACTGGCCGTTTGACAATGTGTACCAGCGACTCGGTTTGCTGCCCTCGTCTCCGTCGTATGCCTTCAAACGGGCCTGCGAGGAGCAGCTGCCCGATACCAGGGATGCCCTGATTTGCAACAAACTGACCGGAAACTCTGACAAATACATCTACATGATCCACGGACCAAATGCGCTCGAGTGCGAGTGGTGTCGCGAAAACCAGGACTATTTCTTTTATGCCTTTCCGCCGGTGCTGTGGCAGTATACCGCCTTTCTTGGCCTAGTCGGGGCATGTGCCGGAAACTGGCGGAGAACTGGGTCCAAATGGGCCGTGCTGCTGGTTTCGGTGTGTCTCCTGACGATGGAAGCTGGGATCCGTCTGACCGAGGTGCCATCCAACATTGGGCTGTTTGCCGAGGACGACACGCAGTCCATTGCAATCACCAGAATCCGCTGGATCTTGTTTGCGCTGCTGTTACTGGCGTTTTACGCCAGGGGCCGAGGCGACGCATGGACCCAGGAAGACATCTTTAAAAACTTGATTGAAACCTCGCTGGAAACCAGGGGAAGGTACGTGGCGTCGGAGGCAATCGACTCTGTCCTGTATGTGGACAATGCGCTCCGTCAAAAGTACTATGCGCTGCGAGAAACCCAGGCACAAACCGTGCGAACCATCCACAAGAACCCCGATATCAAGGTACGTGCTGCATCGCTGTTTGCTGCTGCTAGCGCCGCAACTCGACAACAACTGACCGTAGGCTGTTCGACGCAATCTGGTCATCAAACATAACATGGAGGCCCTCCGCAGCCAGGCTGCCCAATGGCGACAGCGCATCTACGGACTAGCTGGCTTTTCCGAGCCAGGGACAGTAGCCATACCCGAGGAATCGGTGCATCCCTGGGACGAGTACGAATAAACATGCATCAACTGGGCAGCATCAAACACCCATCCCGCGTCTAGCCAGACGAGTGGTCGCTAGGATCCAGAGCCAAATGGCCTCAAACCAAAGTCTTGGTCTTTGGAGACGAAAGCGCCACACATGGGGATTTGGTGTAGTTGGTTATCACGTTCGCTTTGCATGCGAAAGGCCTCCGGTTCGAATCCGGAATTCTCCATTTTTGGCAGCCGCTTCTTGATGCCGCACTACAGCTTTTACTCATTACCCTCCCTATAAATTCATTTTATTGAGAAATTCACGTAGGGGTGTGGAACAATCCGAAGATGTGGCTGGAGAATTTCCCAACATTTATTGCGAGGCAACCGTCGAAGAGTTAGAACTGGTCCCTTTGGAGTAGCATCATTGTGGCTTCTTTGTGCGGGAACTGCACATTTCCGAGACGCATGAAGCCAACGCCAGTCAGATAGGCAATCATCTTTTGGTTGTCGCTTCGAGGCTCAGACACCACGCGCATAGTCTTTGGATTGTCGCTGAAGGCCAACTCGACGAGCGATGGCAGCCACTCAGCAACGCGATGCGGACCGCGGTAGTTATCGTTTCCAACCAAGAAGTGAAGCCCACGGTCGTATTTTTTGCAATCGTAATATTCACCGATTTTGTCTAGATCTGCATAGTACATTTCAAAATACGCAAAGGGCTCGCCGTCGTAGGAGGCTATCAGCGGAAGGGAATGCTTTGAATCCAGCTGGGCCTCTAGATACCGTTGGTGCTGTTCGATCGTCCCCGCCTCTTTCCAAAACTCGTTGACGCGCTCGTTGTTCATCCAGTCGTGGAAGTGAGAGAGATGCAGCGCAATGCTGGCAACGTGGATCGACAAGCACGACTTGGTCCCTTCAAAATACTTTTGGAACAGAAGGGTTCCCGATGGCTGAAGCTCGCGCGACTCGGTGTCGTCTGAACATTAGATCACAAATCATACCCTTGGGAGGGCCAAAGAGGGACTCGACAATCACGTCGCCTCGGAAGGCGAGGTTGGAGAGCAGCGTGTCGCTTAGTCCGTGGGTCTTTTCGTTGCAGCCGACTCGATACACCTTGCAGTTGACCGGCTTGGTGTTATGGCTGTCAAACACCAGCTGGTAATCGCGCTGGACCGAAACAACGCTGCCTTGCCGTTAGCACCGCCAACGTACCAAACTCTTTGAAGAGGGGATAGAGAAGTTTCTCGCTCTGGTGCACATCAAAGCCGGTGCCCAGAAAGACACAGTCAATGCCCGAGAGTACCCGGGAAGACCCGCTGATGCTATTCTTGACCTCGATGTCAAACTTTCCGTCCGCGGTT